GCTGCTTCCGCACTGGTGCTGTGCGTTCCCCCAGTGTCACACACCTCTGTGAGACCACCAGGAGCACACTCTCTCAGTCCCGGGCTGTTACAGTGCTGGGCCTCCGGCCCCAGAGACAGTGCGGAGGCCGAGGCCTGCCAAGACACCGCAGCGGGCACGGGCCCTCGGGCCGGGGAGCTGGGGAGCTCCCCAAAAGGCACTCCTGGCCTGGCCTGGTTGTGGGCTTTCACTGCAACCCTGGCAAGTCGCGGGAGGAATGCTTGCGGCCGGCCCAGCTGGTTGGCTAACAGTGGCCACCCCTGGACCAGGGCAGCCTACCGTGGCGACCGGTTCTCCTGCTGACTGCTCAGCCGGACTGCCCCAGTGTGCCCTCCGTGGGGCTGCCCGGAAGGCCCATCTGGAGCCGGCTGCCGCTGGAGCCACGTGGCTTGGCCAGGTTGTTCCCTGCGGTGGAGGAAACCTGTTGTGCAGACGTTAAGCACTCTGCCGTTGAGCCATCGGGCTTAATTCCAGGTTCTGGTGCTAGTTTATGAAGCCCTGTATTTGACCCAAGTACTTGAAAGAAACAGCTCACTGAATATCTCTCAGACTTGCACGGGAGACGCAGCCGATGGGGCAGGGCCTTTTTGGTGGTTGCCCCAACCTGGAATTCCTAGTTATTCACCACGGTGGTGAACTTTTGGCACCACCTCAAAATGCTCTTTTAAAATCAGACTTTGGTGGTTGGTACTACAGAGAAAGGATATGGTGACCACGTCTCCTGTAATGCATTTTGTAGAGTTTTAACTATGTTTTAAGGGACTGCAGGTGGTGCAGTGGTTTAAACTGCTGAACTGCTGGGCTGGTTGATCGAAAGGTCGCCGGTTCGAATCTGCACAACGGGGGGAGTTCCCGTTGCTCCGTCCCAGCTCCCGCCAACCTTGCAGTCCGAAATGCAAATGCAAGTAGATAAAAAGGCACCACTTTGGTGGGCAGGTAACAGCGTTCCGTGCACTTCGGTGTTTAGTCACGCTGGCCACATGACCACGGAGACTGTCTGCGGACAAACGCTGGCTCCCTCGGCCAGGAAACGGAGATGAGCACCGCTCCCGAGAGTCAGGCATGCCTGGACTTCACGTCAAGGGGAAACCTTTACCTTATCTATGTTTTTGGTGTTACAGATCTAATGGTCTACTTTTAAGTATTGCTGTGAGGTGCCTCAGTTAGAAGGGAAGCTGAAAGATGAGTACCATAAACATCAGCAATTAAACTGAAGAAGGTGGATTTTCTTGTATTCATGTTTTTGTTGTGAAATTTTAGCAAATGAATATATAGATACTAAGATGCAGTGCTTTTTTTGTCATAGAACGCACTGCAACAGAGTTCCGGCACCTTTTTTCGACAGATTTTCCAAGTTTTAAAAGTAACTTTTGAAAATTTGATGTTTGGTCCATGTGGATTCGAATCACCCTGTTGAGCATAGCAGGTCAGCGGCAAAACCATTAAAACGGTGCGTGCGGGCTGCTTGCGTGTCGAGTCCGATGTGTGCGTGCTTCGTCCACACTGGTTGTGATGGCGCCGCTCGGCTTGTGGCACTGCTCGGCTTGTGAGTGGTTGTGTGGTCGCGCACTGAGTGCTTACTGCGGGTGGCAACTGTTATGTTTCGTTACACAACTGCCGTGTGTGGGTGTGTGTACAGTGATTGACTACATGCAAAGAGTAAATAATTTCATGAGTTCCGGCACCCTTTTTCTTACAAAAAAGCACTGCTAAGACGTGTAACTATAAATGGAGCCAGTGTGGTGTCGTGGTGCAGAGAGCAGGACTGGGACTCACTCGGGCAATCCGGGTTCTAGTCCCTGGGGCTCCCTGGGGGATTCTGGGCCAGTCCCAGACTCTCAGCTCAGCCCACCTCACACAGCAGGTTCGCGGAAGATGAGATTGAGAGGGGGAGGAGGAGGGTTATGCCGACGGCCTTGAGTCCTTCGGAAGGAAAAAAGGTGGCATATAGATATAATAAACAGCCATGTATATCCTTGAATGCATAGGAAATGCAATATATGAAGATACAGCTTCTAGCAACCACGCAAGCTGGCCAGATCGCCAGGGAAGCCCCCCTGTGAGGCCTTGAGCCTCCCGGTGCGATAGCTGGCGCGGGCGCCCTGCCCACTCACCAGGTTCCGAGAGGCAGGCAGGTAGCAATGGCGCCCACGCACCAGGGGCCGCCCTGGGATGACCTCCTCCCGCAAAGCAGCAACCACTGGGCCCTGCCGGGAGATGCGTATGTTAAAAGAAGCGTTGGTTACCCTGCACTGCCGGCAATTAGCCAGATTGCACAAGCCCTTGGTCAGGTGGGGCGGTATCTCCAAGCGCCTTGAAGCAGGCGTGTTTCCTGAGGGAGGCACGGTCTAAGACTCATGGATGTGCCAGGAATCCGTGCCATAGATTAGGTACATTGCAAAATTAGGTAAAATTGGAGAAGCACATGTTGGGGATTACATGGGTGAAGCCAGCTGGAGCTGGGGGTCAGACTAGATGGCCTGGGAGGCCCCTTCTGATGCACTTTTTCCTGTTTTTACGTGGCAATGCAGCTTCCTCACCCGCTCCTGCTTAAAACCTGCTGTATCCCATGTATTCACTAGTAACTGGTGTACGGAGAACTTCAGTAAATGCTTGCGATACAGACGGAGGGCCGAATGCTCCGGAAGCCTGTGCAGGGCCGGGACTCGGGCGATCCGGGTTCGAGTCCCTGCTCAGCCACAGAGCCCACTGGGTGACTTGGGCCACTCAGGCGCTCGGCCCAGCCTACCTCGCAGGGCTGTTGTAGATTGAGTGCGGGAGGAGGAGAATGATAGAAGCCACTCTGACTTCTTGAAAAAAGTAAAAGGCAGGGTATAAATCTAACAAATAAATAAAGCAGCAGGGGAAAGCCTTGTGTATTTGCATAGGGCTTTTTTAGAGCTGTCAGTTCACTGCCGTGCCAGTTTAATGCTTCAGATCGAGGGAATTACATTGCCAATGGACACGCCTCCTCTGCTGCTCTTTCCTTTGTTGGTGTTTCGGGGTAACTCGGCAATCGATCCTGGGAAACCGCGTGCCAGTTAGCCCAGAAGCTGCCTTGCGAGCCACCTGCTCCACTTCCCTTTTTCTTTGACGGCTGAAATGTGCAAAACACCCGAGCAGCCAGGCCGTGTGTGTTTGGCATTTGCAGAAAGGTTGATAAGGACCATGACGAAACCACAAACACCATCGTGCAGTTTGCAGGGGCCAGGAATTACGGAAAAAATCCACAGCAGGAAACGAAAAGGGGTTGTGGTTGCGGGGCGGGCGGGGGAGCCGGCTTTGTTGCAAGGGACTCTGGGAAAGCAGTGGCATGGCACCCACACCGGGCAACTTCGCATGCCTTGTCTTAAGCTTTTGAAACCTGGCTTGTGTGAGCCATGGCTTGTGACTCCCAGACCCCAATCCATGGGGAACGCCTCCTGCCCTCTTAAGCCTCTGGCCTGTCTTGGCCTGATTTAATTCGGGGAGGCCTGGGGACGAAAGCAGACTTGCAGGCAGGAACAGGCTGTGGGACGAGTTTTCCAGGCGTGTGTGTCTGCGCCCTCCCCTTTTCCCCTGCTTCCCAGGTGCTCCCTTATAATTGATCACTAGGCCAGCAAGGTGTTCCTGGGAGCGTGTCCACCGTTACCCTCTGCATGAAGCCAGCTGCGGCCCCCCGTTCTGCTTATTTTGACGGGGAGAATGAGAGCTACAGCCTGCGAATGTGCGCGCACCTCGCATGGCCACGGAACATGCATTTTTGGTTGCCTTTTAAACTGAACATTATTTTTAAAATTGCGCATTCAGAAAAGCGCATCGCTTGGCTTGCTAGATGGCTCCTTTGTCCCATTCAGAGCGATAGATCTGGGTGTACCCTCCGCGCAGTGATGTGCTGCTCTCTCGACCATTTCTCCAACAACTAAAGGCATCCCTTTCAGAAGAATGCCTCTGTGAGGATGCGGAGCCCACCTTAGCACAGAGACATCAGGCGGGTCGCACTCCTTTGGTGAGCCGCCAGCGCTCGAGGCAGGAGGTGCGTCGTGTGCGGAGGAGATGGCCGAGCCAGGTGTCCCTGAGCGCCACTGCAGCTGCCCAGCACGGCCGTCAGGAACCGCATGGGGCAGGCAGGGCGGCGATCCGGGCGGCTGGTGTGCACTTCCGGAAGTGAGGCCATCCAGGGGCAAGAAGCCAAAGCCGGCGGGGCGGAGAGGCCGTCCCTGCGTGCGCGGAAGGGCGGGTCGGCTGCCTGCCAGCCGCTGGGTTCACCTGGCCGGGCCGGTTCCTCCTGCTGCCCCTGCGGTGAGCAATGAGGCCGTGGGAGGAGAGCGGGGGGCACGCCCCACTGCCGCTGTCCTGCCCCGTCCCGTCCTGCTCCTGAGCGGCTCCCCCGGCCGCCGGGTTTGGTTCCCTGTGCTCTGGGGCAGGTGGCCTCGCAGGTCACTGCGTGTGGAACTGAGTGGCCCTCTCTGTGGCCGCATCCCTCACAGCTTTGTGAGGGACACGCTTTTCTGCTGGACGTGCAGTGCGGACCCTTTTGGGGGCTGCTAGTGGTCCCGGGACCCCCGCCGGCGGAGGCCAGAGGATGCTCAGAGGGGGCGTCTCCCTTCCCCCGCCCTGTTCTGTGTGCGGCGGGCACAGTGATGCGGGGCTGGTGCAGAGTGCGTTTGTGCTGCTCCGCTTTTGCCGGAAGCGAGGTGTCAAGGGAGTGTGGGTGTCCGCAGGGAAACCCTCCTCTCCCCGCCACACTCCTTGCCTTTTGGGCCATGTTAGCACGCGGATCAGTGCTCTGGAAAAATGGTTTGCAATCTTTGGGCGTCCCTGCCGAACAGAAGAGCTCCGCCGGGCCTTTTGTGTCCGAGGCGTTTTTTCCAACACGGTCATTCAATTGCTGAGGGGGGGTCTTGGCTTGATGGAGGATGCAAGAGGATGTACCTTACAGAAGTCTCTCTCTCTCTCTCTCTCTCCCCCCCCACCTGAAGGGTCCCTGATACTGAGCAAGACTGAGGACCGTTTGGAGGTTCCTGAGAACAGTGGTAAGTTGTGCGAAGGCAGGCCAGCTTCCTCTGCCTTTGGGTTGGCTCTTCGCCTGCAGCAACATTTCTAAACCGTGTGCCTTCCAGATGCGATTGACTACAACTCCCATCACCCCCAGGCAGCACTGCCATCGCCTCTGGCTGGGGAAGGCAGAAGCACAGTGCTGGCCCAAAGCATTTCGCTCCCGGAAATGGAGCCAGCCCAGCCAGGGCCAGCGGGCCTTGCTGCGCCCTTCGGACACCCGTCCGGGCATCACCGTCTGGCTCCTTTTAAGATGGCTTTTCCTTACTGAAAGGCAGGGACCAGTCGTAACCACGTGCTCCGTTTCGGTGCGCGCTGCGCCCACTGGGTTCTGCCGTGTGCCTGCTCCACATTCACACCTGGGGGGTCCCGTCTCCATATGGCACATCCCACCCCGCTGAGCAGGGGGCGGGACCTGCTGGCCCTCTGGCCGCTTCCCGCTCTGCTCTTCTGAGGTTCCAGGATTTCTAGGCCACGCATGCCACTGCGCTACGTAATGGCGCACAGTTACCGTGGTGCCCTGGGAAAATTCTGTCTTGAAAGTATTTCTGGGAATTCGGCCCCAAGAACTGCTCTGCCCTGGAACATGCCCCCCGCCGAAACTCGTTGAGAATGGAATTTTGCCCTTAGGCTGAAGAGGATTTTATTTATCTGTTGATTGTTTACCTGCTTATTTAGTTAATTTCCATACCACCCAGTAGTTCAAGCTCTCCGGGCAGATGCAGCAGCACTTAAAAATACAGTACAAAATACAAACAGCATTAGAAACACAATATTTATTTATTTATTTATTTATTTGGAACACTTAAATGCCGCCCCATTCGCAAAAGCCTCGGGGCGGCTTCCAATACAAATAATCCAACTATACAATTACATTAAAAATCTGGAAACATCCGGCATAGATATAAAATCAATAAATTAACTCAACAATTAAAATAACGTTTAAATAAAAAGGTCCTGGCCTGGCGCTGAAAAGCAAATAACGACAGCGCCAGGCGGACCTCTCTGGGGAGCGCATTCCAGAGGTGGGTGCCACCGCAGAGAAGGCCCTCCTCCGGGTGCTCACCCTCCTAATATCTTTCACAGAGGGTTCCCGGAGAAGGGCCTCTGCTGCCAATCTCAAGGGGCGGGAGGGCAGATACGGACGCAAGCGATCCTTTAGCTAACCAGGTCCCAAGCCGTTATGATATAAGGTGTTATTATATATATATATATATATATATATATATATATATATATATATAAAAGGTAACCTATTTGAACAGCTGACCAAGTCCCAGCCGACTCACTACGCGCCCCGCCATGGAGGGCAGCCTCAGCCTGGTGGAAAGGGCATCAAAGTCCGTGCCAGGAGGGCCTCAGTGGGGAGCGTCCTCCCTCACTGGGGGCCACCACGGAAGAGCCCCCCCCCCCCCGGTGCCACCGGCTGAGCGTCCCTGGGAGGCCGCAACCAGAGGCAGGTCACCCGGAGGAGGAACGGGGTCTCTTCTCAGTCATCCCAGAGTGCAGGGTGTGGATCAAGCTGCAGGACACCAGGTTCCCGCTGGCTTCAGGACAACTCCTGCCTGTTCGAGGAGTAGGGAGAGGGGACCCGTGACCCAGGGAGGCGGTGGGCTCTCCCGCCCTGAGGGGGTGCCTGGACTTGGAGCCCTGCCCTGAGGAGGGGCTGGACCTGGAGGGCCCCGGCCCCTTCCAGCGCTGCTCGCCTGCGATTCTGCGGTTTTTAGCGCCTGCTCCTCCAGCAGCCGGATCTTCTCAGGGAGCCGCTAGGAGGAGTCCTGGGCCTTCTGGTGGGGCCTCGCAGCGCAAGGCAGGCCAGCCCTCTTTGCCCGCCTGGGCGCCAGGGTTGGGGCGCAGCATTCCCAGCTGGTTTCCACTGCCGGAATGTGGGCCTGTCTTTTGCCTGCGTGGGTGCGAAAGGCGGGATCGGCCGGGAGCTGCCGGCTCTGGGGGCCTTTCAGCAGCGCCGCCCGCCCGAAGCCAGCTGAGCGAGCCCTCGGTACATGCTCCAGCCTGCTTGGATGAGAAGCGTGACGAAGCCCCGGGGTCGCCGGAAAGCGGGGACAGGGGTGGGGCCGGCCGGCCTTCTGGACGTGCGCCTGACAGAACGGTGGGGACACGAGGGGCGTTTCGGCCGGGCGGCGGCGAGGGCGGGCAGCTCCGCCGGTCCGGGTGGCCCCTCCAGGCTCCGCAGGGGCCGCCCGCCTGGCTCACCTCGTCTGCCCTCCTGCTTCAACGCAGCGGCGACCCTGCCTTGCAAAGCCACGCAGAACAACGCAAAGCGCACGGAGTGGAAGTTCGAGGACAATGGAAACGTGGTTCTCTTCTATCACGACAATCAGCTGACAGGTGCGCTGGCGGGGGGGGGCGTGTTTTGTGGGGGCGGGACTGAGTGTAATTGCCGGGGCTTCCCGGTTGCCGGGGCCCCTTTCTCCTGGTCGCCGGACCCGCCGGGTGGGTGCGCAGCGGGGGGCACTGCAGCACAGGCTGGGCAGGGCAGAGGGAGGCCCTCCGTCAAGGGGTCTCTGGGTGCCTCCTGCCAAATTAGGGGGTGGGAGGGCACCGGGGGGGCTGCCATCGGCCTTACTGGGAGGGCTGCAGGTTGCAGTGCCTTGGTGCGGGGGGGGGGGTCTCCCGTCCCCCGCTGTTGGGATGCCGTGCCCCATCAGGGAGGGGGCAGGGAGCCCTCCTGGCCAGAGGTGCCCACCTGCTGCTTTCTGCAACTCTCAAGCGGCCCCCCAAACGAGTCGCACGCCAGCTCCCAGCATCCCCGGCCACTGGCCGTACTGGCTGGCACTGGTGCACGCTGGAGCCCAGGCGATCCGGGGGTGCTCGCCGAAGCCCAGGGGCTGCCTGGGCCCGTTTGCTCCTGGGCGTTCGATGACACGAGAGGCGAGCGAGCCGCCTGCCCAGATTCAGCCCGACCTGTTCTTACTTCTGGCAGATGCCTACAAGGACCGGGTTACTTTCTTCTCCAACGAGATTCTTTTCAAGAGCGTCACGCGCAAGGACTCGGGCCGGTACACCTGCATGGTGCTCGGCAACACGTTTGACGAATCCGTGGTTGACCTCGTCGTTCAAGGTAGGGGCGCCCTTTCTCTCCGCATGGCCTGCGAAAGCAAGCGCCCTTCGCCCTGACTCTCGGGGGAGCCCATCCATGCACTCCGCCACACTCCAGGAGCGCCGCCCGCTTGCCTGCTCAGGGCCGCTGAGGTACCGCACGGTATCAAACAATATGAAGAGCATTCAAAGCAGCGAAGGGGGTGCCTCCCCTTTTTCAAAGCACCCCCTTTAAAAGATGGAGCCTCAGACTTCCTCTTGAGCCCGAGGGAGGGCCCCCACCCTCGTTCTTCAGAGAGGGCATGCCTCCGTTTGGGGGCCACGCAGGAGAAGGCCCTGCCTCGTGGGCCTACCAGGTGCCTCCTCGTGGTTCGTGGTGTCCTCGTTCAGCCTCTCATGCAGCTCTTAGCTCACAGGCAGGTTTGGCGCAGGATGGGCAGCCCCCTACATTCAGGCACAGGCTGCCCTGGGAACCCCCGTGCTCCCCCGGTGCCCCCACTCAGTCACAGTGAGTGAGGACTATTCCTTGGCCTTTGTGGAAATGTGGGAAAGCACTAATCACAGGCTAGTGGTCGTAGTTTTTATTATAAGGTCACAGACCTGAAAGATCAACAAAAAGATCAAACAGCAGTAGAAAAATTAAAACGCAGTGAAAGCAAGTACAATTTATACAATATTTTCACCCAAGCGAGTGGCCACTTTTTTTCCTAATCTGCATTGCAGTCATTAAAAATTTGCAACATTTCTGGTAAGATCAGAGGAAACACCCTTAAGCAATTAGGTAACAGCGTGGAGGGTAAGGATTTGTCACTAAAGGTTTAATCCGTTTCTCTCGGCAAACCCTATAGAAACTGCACTGTAAGGGAACACGTTTCGCCGTTTCTCCTACTCCAGCACTGCAGAGGCGAGTGCTTACCCCGAAGCAGGTCCGTTCAGTGACTGGGATCTTGTTAAATCGTCCCTTTGAAAGTGCTGATGGGAGCACAATAAAGCAGGCGATAGCGCTCTTCTGGACGCTGGGTAGTTCGTGTGTGCAGATCTGGGGCCAGAGTAAATCCATCACAGTAGCAACTATTGCAGTTAAGATGAAATAAAGAGGAACAAGTTTTATTAGCAGCAGTTCTCAAATACTGAAGATCTGGGTCTATTAATCTTTGTGCAACAGGAAACTGGGACTTGGCCAGCCCTATGTCACTGGCCCCACTGTCACACCACTCTAACAGTCAAGGGGTTCTGTGTGGCCTCCTGGGACTCGAGCCTGTTGCTGCGTGTCCCGCCAGCTCCCTGATGCCTCTAGGGTGCAGTTCCTTGGAGCCTGGAGACCTGAACTCATTCAGCCCAGGGAGATGGTCCTTGAGCAGTTGCCTGTCGACCCTGAGCTGCCTTCCTGCTCCTTCAGCTTCTGCGTCGCCTTAAATAATCAGAAGGTGGAACGATCAGGAAGGTCATAGCTCTTCTTCTGGGAGAAGACTGAGCCAAAGTAGGAACCGAGCACTTCTGCCTCCTCTTTCTCGGCTGTGCTCATTTTGCCATCCGTGTGGAGTAGCTGAACCCCTGTTTCTCTGCTCCGCCTTTTACCGTGGGCGTAGCGGAAGAGGCTTCTCGGTGCCTTTAGCCTCCCCGCGAGCCTCAGTCCACGCCTAGCTTTAGCCATCCTCCTGCCGTTCCTGCAATGCCTGCCTGCCTGTGTTCCTCCTCTGCAGCCTGGCCTGCCTTCCACCTCACATATGTGCCCTTTTTTATTTCGGACCATCTCTAAGCTTTTTGTCAAGCCACATGGGCCTCTTCTGTTGTCTTCTACCCTTTTCCATGTTGGAATTGTTTGTGATTGTGCCTTTAGAATTTCCTTTTTAAAAATTCCCACCCATCCTGGACTCCTTTTCTCATTAGAATCACTTGCCATGGGACCTTGCCTATCATTGTTCTGGGTTTATTAAAATCGGCTTTCCTAAAGTCCAGGGTGGATGGCCGGGACATCTGGCTTTTGCTTCCTTTAGAACGCAGACTTCAAGAACAGCCTGGTCACTTTCCCCTGCGTTCCCACAGCTGCCACTTTGTCCTCGCTGCCGGTTGGCATCAAGTCAAGGACGGCCCTTCCTCTGGCTCCTTCCTCTCCTTTCGGTTGGAGGAAGTGATCAGCCACACATGCTGGGAATCTCTTAGCAGTTCCATCCAGTTCCTTCCACAGGGAAAGCACCTGTCTGTGTTTGCGCCGGGCAATTAAGGTTAACGACATGGCAGGCATCACAAGTGCGGAGCGAAGGAAAGGAGCGGAAGAGGGAAGCAGTGAAGCCCCATGCAGCTCCTTGACATCTTTGCATCACTGCCCAACACCAGATTGGTGTGGTGGGCTAGAAGGCCCAGGCTGGGTGGGGGGGGGGTCCCTCTGCCCATACCCTCCCCAGAACATGTCGCACATTTATGCCTGGAAGGGAAAGTAAGAGGCGCAGGGGAGAGAGACCAGCGCTCAGGGAACAGCGGCAGCGTAATGTCCAGTGGCGGGTGAGCTCCTGTGCTCCTCTTACAAGGGTGGAGTTGCAGAAAGGAAAAATAAAAGATAGGTGTGCATTTCTCTGGTCTCCGTTCATACAAGCCAGCTCACCCCTTCTGCTATACCGCTCAGGTAAGCCAGGCTGATATCCAAGACCTTCAGGGAACAGACTGAGGCATCTTTTGGGTCTGCAACTGGAAACATGCCCCAGTAAAATAAAGAAGAATGCACACACAGGTGGATAAGCTGGAAAAAATAAGTGTGACAGCACATTTTTCCTGTATCCAGAAAAGGAAGAAAGGAAAAACCTTTTGCGTCGCACCTGGCTGAGTCGCTTTCCTGCTGCTGCAGCCCGTCTGCGGAGCTGCCCAGGGAGGCAGTCAAGGGAGGGAGGGCGGGCGTCCTGGGGGTCCCAGACAGGGCAGGGCTCCGTGGCGCCGCTGCACCGGAGCGCTCACCTTTTCTGTGCTCTTGAGCCGAGAAGGCGTGACCCAGAACAATGATACCTTTATCTTGAGTCAATAAACAGAGGTGCACTTGGAAATGTAAAGCAGGGAGGTCCAGGAAGGGAAAGTGAAAGAATAAGAAGGATGGAATTTAAAATAAACAGCAGATAAAGGAATACTCCTTGCCCATTTGACACACTCCCGAGGAATGGTGGTGTCTGCATACGGGGAACCCTCGTGCACCCTTAAAGCCAAATGAGCCAAAGTCTTGTCCTCGCTTCGTTCCTGGTTCCTTAAATCCTTCCACAGAAATAGAGAAATGGAAAAAACGTGAGGGAAACCGGCAGTTTCATGCTAGTTTCAAATGCAGCCAATGGTCCAGAAAGCGTCAGGAAGTATAGAAATGAGCAATAAAATGGCTGTGGATGTTTAGAGTGTGTTACATGTCCAGATGTAATTAATGGGGCCTGCACAGAAGGGGTGAGCACCGAGTGGCTTTTAAAAGAAATGCAGAGCAAGGTGGGGGGGATAAAAGATGGCCTGCCAGAACGGGCTGGGCCGCCATGGTCTCGCCAAGCCCAGCCGTGGATGCAAACGGCCGCCTCGCCCACTATTGCTACTGCTGCATTGCATTTATCTCCTCCTCCTCCTCCTCTTGCAAGGGAGCCAGGGTGGCTTCCGTGACTCCATTGTTAATCCTCACAACAACCTTGCGAGGTAGGTTGGGCTGGGTGTCTGACCGGCCCCAGGTTATCTAGCTGGGGACTAGAACCCGGAGCTCCCAGGTCCCCCGTGCAGCGCTGGGCCTCCCGCGCCACCCCAGGCAGTGTTTTGCCGGTGGCTTGTCATTATATTCTGCAAATAACCCCACGTGGCTTGCAGAAGTTGGCGGGAAAACGAAGCTGGCCGATAAAGTTCTGTCTCATGCATCTCCCTTGCCCGGGAAGCTCCGTCTCACTTCAGCCGCCTCTCCGGATAGGCCAAGCACGGGGGCCCCACACCGGGCCCTTCCTCCCACCCCACTTTAGAGTGTTAAGAATTCAGCGATAAATCCTGAGGGTGTTGAGGATCTCGGGGGGGGAGGGGGGGCTGCCCTGCGCTCTTGGCCAGCAGGGGGTGCAGCCAGTATCCCAGGCTTGGCTGGGGCCTGTGCTTCCTGCTCCTGCACCCCAAAGGCCCCCATATCCTGACGGGCAGCGCCAGCCCCAGGGGCCGAAGGGGCTTTAAGGCTCTCCACTCACTGTCCGCTGCGCCTCCACCTCCAACAGTTCCTGGAACGGAGCAGTGCAAGTCCGGACCTGTAGGAAACCCCTCCAGTTTGTTTCGAGGGCCCCCCCCCGGTGTTTGTTGATTTGAGCATCCCGTGCCCAGCACCTCGGACTGCAAGGAACGGGTATCAATCCCAAACAGGGAGAGCTGTGAAACGAGCCCAGGCAGCCCCTCAGCGAGCTAGCTGGCGGCATGCAGCGGTCTGGGGGCCCCGCGGCTGCGGGCAGGAGCAAGCGTGGCCGCCCGAGCCGCCCCTTGGCCAGATGTTCTGCTGCGGGCGGTGCTGCTGGTGGCATTTGGGGCCTGCCAGTCCGTTCCAGCTGTGTGGCCGCCATCTTCCCAGAAAGGAGCACACGGGTTCTTCCAGCATGTGGGGGCTCCAACAGGCCGCAGATGCCCATCCGTGGCTACGAGGGAAGCTGCCCACGTGGACATGGAGCCCACCCAGCTGCTTGGGGAGGGGGCGAGCTGCCAAGGGGACCCCAAGCTGCTCCTCTTCAGCAGTCTTTGGCTGTACATCTAGTTCCCGTTCTAGCTGTCTTTTGGGGGATTTGTGCTGATCGGCCCTTCTGGATCTTGTGCTTCAAAGAATGGTGGGGCCCCATTTACGTGCAGCAGCCTGAAGGGGCCAGGAGCGCAAACTGTAACGGGCGCAGGATGAGCGGGTTGCACGCCGTGGGCGACAGCTCTTTGGTCACGTCCACGCCGGGGGCCCTGCTCCAGGTCGCTGCAGCTGCTCGTCCGCCAAAGCACAGGGTGCTTCTGCCGTCGGTTCCTGACCGGCTCTCTTGGCCTTCCAGTGCCGCCCTCCAAGCCGAAGGCCCAGGTGCCCTCCGTGGTGACCATCGGCAGCAAGGCCGTCCTGAGCTGCGTGGAGACGGACGGCAACCCGCGTCCCACCTTCAAGTGGTTCCGAAACAACTCCGAGATGCCCTCAGACCCCAAGTCCAACTCCCTCTTCAGGAATTCCTCCTATGTGCTCGACTCCAGCACAGGGGTGCTGGTAGGTACATCCACGGGGCCCCCGCCGGGAGGAATCCTGGCGCAGGGAGCGCTGTAACGGGGCGGGGAGGAAGCGGGGCCCCTCCTCCACGCAGGGGGCGATCGGGCTTGAGCGGACCCTGTCGCTTTCACGCCTGCAGCTCTGCTCAGGGGTGGGGGGCTGCATGTGCCTCGGCTGGGACCGTTCCTCTCCAGGCGGTTGCGTGGGTTGGGGCAGGGGAAGCTGCTCCCTCGTTACAGCTTTGCGAGATGCCGGTGGCTGCTCTTTTCCAGCTTCCTTTGGGAAAACAAAGGGGTGTGTGGATGTGGACCCCCATGGGGGGGGCGTTGAAGGGGCTGCACACAGTGCCTGCCATTGCAAGGAGGAGCCAGTTTACGAATGTAACGGGAATGGCGGCTGGGGAATGCCAAAAGCGAGAGGAAGCCGCGGGTTCTGGAGGGGCGGATTCTGAAAGGCCTCGTCCTGCCTCACGGTCACAGAGGGACTCGGTCAGCGGCAGCCTCCCGGGGCCTGGATGCCCTGTTGGCCTTTTCGGGGCTGGGCTCAGCGTTCAGTCCCTCTCTTGCTTCGTTCAGCCTTGAAAACTCCACTAAAATGGCACCCCGTCTGTTGTTCAGAAGCTCCAAAACATGCTGATTTCTACTTCGCACTTGAAATGCAGACAGCATGTGCCATTTCTGGAGCCCCTCTCGGGCTGGGATGCCCCTCTCGCCTTTGCAGACTTGCAGAGGGAGCCGAGCCAAAGGGGAGTCTGTAGGCTTGGCTGGAACGGCACTGGGGTGTCTGGGTGGATTTGATTGCAGGGCGGCCCCGCTCCTCCCCGGCAGCTTCTTCAGAAGGACGTTTGCAGTTCGGAGTCCAAGAGAGGGGATCCATCGTGGGTACAGGAGAGGGACCCCCTCATCTGAAGCCTGCCTCTCTTCCTTAGACCTTTAATCCTGCAACGGCCTTTGATGCCGGGGAGTACTACTGCGTGGCCGAGAACAAAGTCGGGGCGCCCCAGAAATCCGACACAGTGCAGATGCAGACCAGTAAGTAGCCGTGTGTTCTTGCTCTGTGGAAAGGGCCGTTCTGCCCGGTCTGGGCTCAGGGCGGCCCAGCTGTGCAGGGGGCGGCAGCGAGCGGGTCCGAAGGGACCTCCCGGGCCATCCAGTCTGACCTCCGGCTCCAGCCACCTCTGCTCATGCAATCCCCAACACGTGCTTGTCGGTCCTTCCTCAAGTAGGTCCTTGTGGCCGGACCTTTATGCTTAGGAAAAAACTTCCCTTTCAAACAGACAAGACAGCTAGCTTCAGAGAAGCGACTCCAGCAAGTTCAAGGCTCCAGCAAGAAAACTCTTCTTGGCCTTCTCAGACGACTGTTCTGCTTATTCCTTTTGAACATGTTGATTTTGCCCTTAGATCAAAATCGTTCGCACGGCAACTTTCCATCCTGTTAAAGCCTTAGAACAGGGGTCCTGTTTTAAAAACTTTTTAGTTTAAAAGTTTAAAAACTTTTTAAACGGGGCCAGTTCACTGACCCTCAGACTGTTGAGGGGCTGGACTATAGTTTGAAAAAAATTGCTAAAGAAACCTCCAAAGGATCAGCTAACGCGCCCCCCTCCCCGCCACAACCTCATTTCTCAAGGAAGCGTGGAGAGGAAAATTTCCCAAGAGCCTCCGACTGGCCAGCAGACAGAGGGAAAAAAGCAGACAGATTTAAATGAACAAGCCGACTTAATGCAAACAGAAATGCTTGGAGGGACTTAAAATGGATTTTAAAAGTTATTTTTGTATGACCTTCAATCCTTTTTTAGTGTCTTCGTCTCTGTCCTGCCCTCCTCTCTTCCCTGTTTCCCGCTCCATATTCCTGTTCTGTATATGTAAGCAATTGGAGGGGGTGGGGGGAGAGCCGGCACACGCACAGTTGAGCTTTTACAATTCAGCGCGTGCACCGGCTCTCTGCTCAGTTTCAAAGAATGCCTGCACCAGCTCAGAGCTTTTGGACTCGCTTGGAGATCGTTTTCTCTGAGCAAGTCCGAAAGCTCTAAGGTGGGCCGGATAAATGAGCATGGCAGGCTGTATCCGGCCCACAGGCCATAGTTTGAGGACCATGCCTTATAGTAATAACCATAAAGCAATGGCTGGGAGTGGGAATGGGGGACACTGAGGTACGTCTAGTGTGACATCAAAAAGAGCAGCTTTCCTTCTCTTGTACCACCCCCCTCCCCCCCCGCGCAGGCGAACTCAACGTCGGCGGCATCGTGGCCGGAGTGGTGGTGCTGCTCCTTGTCCTGGCTCTGGTGGTCTTTGGCATCTGGTTTGCCTACAGCCGAGGCTACCTCCGCCGTAAGTACCCAGTGGACCGGGGGTGAACTCTGCACAGCTTTCCCTACCGCCGCTCTGTTCGGATGTTGATTCTGCATTGTTGAGTCCCAATTCTGCATTTCCTTCAGAGGTGGGGAGGAATGAAAGCATTCTGTTCCCTTCCCTCACCTGCCTCCCCCACTCAGTCACAACAACCCTGCAAGGTAGTTTAGGCTGGAGCATGAATATCCCCCAGATCAGAGAGTTCCATGAGCACAGAGAGGTCTTTCATGCAGAGCCCATCTTTGCAGAGGGGCTGATGGTGCATCTAGTGAGAGCCTTTGACAAACCCTGTGGGAGCCGCCCAGGAAACGCTTGGGTCAGGGAACTCTGTGGCTCAGGCGCTCTTGTGTGAAGTGGACTTTCCTGAGTCTCCCGCCTGCCCATCAGCCTAATTGGATGAGACTTGAGTTCTAAGACAAGAGGAGGAGAAGAAAAGCTCCTCTCTCGCTTCTGCATCGCTCTTAATGTTATAACTCAATCGTATCCCCCTTGGTCCTTTTTTCTCAACTACATGAAGCCCTTGTCTTATGAAGAAAAGGGACGTTAACACCTGAACAATCAGACTGTCCCTTTCCACACAGCCTCGAGCTGAAGGCGAACTTTTGAGCTGAGCTGGTCAGAAAGCACATGGTGGACACTTGCCAAGTCTGACACACCCTCCCTCACAGCACCCCAGACGGCAAGGCTGGGCCCCAAGGAACAAGCCCGGATCCGTGCCAAGTAACGCCTCTTATGAGCCTAGTCCAAAGGCAGAAGGAACGGGCGAAAGCTTGAGATCCTCCACTTTTTTAAAAGGCCTGGCAGGACCCGTAAAACGTGTGCTGAGATGGGGGAGGCCCCCTGCTTGCATGATCAGAGTCCCAAGGCCCAGTGGGGGCAGTGGGGGGGGGTGAGGGGAGCCCACACACATTCAGGGGAGGCTCCAGCCCCCTTCCCCAGCCTGGTGCTCTCCAGGGGGAGCTGCCAGCCCCGGCTCTGCCTGCCGTTCCTGGAGGGCACCGGGCCCGCGGAGGCCAGTCCAACAGCCCACGAGTCGGACCGGGGGCAGCCCCAGGAGTGCTGGCGCAGGAGAGCGAGGAAGGCGGGGCTGGGGCAGAGCCCGCCCAGCCTGTCCCCCCCACCCCAGCGTTTTGCAGACGCCCTGCTGCACTCGGCCCGGCCTGGCAACGCGAGCCAAGACGAGAGGGCCGCAGACAGACGCTCGTGGGTGGAGGCTGCTGGGGCTGCGGAAGAGGGATGCTGCCAAGGACCACGTGGCCTGGCGCGGGGCTGTCCGGTCTCCCTGGCGCACCCTCACCCGTGGGGCCCCCACCACCTCCCACGGAAGCCCAGCCCATGTCCCAGGGTCCAGACCTTCAGGAAGTCCTTCCGACACCCAACGGGTCCCTGGAGAAACGCTTGATCCGGCGTGGCTGGGATCGCGGTCGCATCTCGTGCTCTTGCAACAGGCTGCGCGGGCTGCAGCGTGCGGCTCCCCCTTTGCAGCAGCCTGGCCGAACACCGGCTCTTCTCAGGCGGGCTCAGAGTGCTGGTATGGCCTCCGCAGCCCCGGGTGGCTTGGGCCAGGCTCTCTGGAGAGACGCCACTCCTCTCCAGGCCGGCCCTGGCCTGAAGAGCCATGGAAGAGGCCCTCCTCTTGGGACCGCCGCCTGCAGAGATGCATTTGCCGGCACCCCCCAGGCGGGGTCTTTTTGGTGGTGGTACCCAGGTTGCAGACTGCCCTCTGGAGGGAGGCCAGGGCCACCCTCAAGCGTGCAAAGGGTGGCCCGTCAGGCTGCATGTTGTTGTTAACTGTTGCGATGTGCTGTGAAGTCACCCCCCACTGAGGACGACCCCATGAATGGAAGCCCTCCAGGCTGTCCGCTCCACAACGACTCCCCGCAGCTCTCCCCGGCTCATAATAGGGGGTGCGAGTGCCCCAAACGGAGGCGAGCACCATGGCAGCCGGAGCGTGGCCCTGCCTGCCGTGGCCTGGCCTGGCCTGGCCTGTTCGCAGTGCAGCCAGAAAAGGGGGGGGCCACAGGGCTTGTGTTGCCGCCTTTCCTTGTTGACTGAGGAGCCGCTCCTCTTTCTTCTGCTTCTGTTTCAGAAAGAAAAGGGTGAGTAGGAGCCGAATCTGCTGCTGCAGCCCCGTCCTGCTGCCCAGCCGCCCCACTGGCCTCCCACCCGTGTCTCCCCTGGGCAGGCTTGGCCTTGGCACGGCGGCCCTTCCGCCCCTCTCCCTGCCTCCGAGGAGGGAGGACCGGCCAGCGGAGAGGGAGGAGCGTGGCTGCGCCAGCCTCTGGGCCACTCCGGGCCCCTGCTCCCCCCCCCACCCCGCTGCGTTTCCCAGTCTTGCTGCGTCTAACCCCTGTTCTGCACCTGTTCCAGCACCACCGGCAGTAAGAAGGTCATCTACAGCCAGCCCTCCAAGCAGAGCGAGGTAAGCCGAAGAGCCCTGGGGCTGTGGGGAGCCACGCTGGGCCTGCACGGCGTTTTGCGGGGAGGGGGCCCAGGACTCTTGGTAGCGTGTGCCGCCAGCAGTGCCAGGCAGCACCATGTGGCTGTGCTGAAGATTCCCCGCCCGGAGCAGTAAGCCCGTCCAGAGGTCCTGGGGATGCCCAAGGGGGCTCTGGAGCCAAACGACCTGCTGCTCGGGGGCGAAGGGCCAAGGAGCAGAGTGAGAAACTCCTGCAGAATCAGCCAAAGGCTCCCACGCCTTGGGGGTGGCCTTTGAGCTTCTTGAAGGGGGGAAGCTGCCTGGGAGCCCGGAGGACCGTAAGTGGCGGCCGGGGAAGAAGCTCCTGGAGCTGGACTTTCCGGCACCTTTCGCGGGCCTGAAAGTGCCCCCTCCGTCAAAGTGCTTCAGCCATGGGGGAATCGGGGTGGTGAAAACGGCACGGGAAAAGCCCCGCGGATTAGCAGCCCTTTGCTTTCTGGGTTCCGCATCCGCACAGTTTCGCGTGCTCTCGGCAGCTTTGCAGTGCTCTGGAACACAGAGGTCTCTCTTTTTTGATTTTCCAGGGTGAATTTAAACAGACGTCTTCCTTCCTGGTCTAATTTCAGCCTCCAGCCTCCCTTGTGGCATGTATTAAAGTCCAACCTCTTCCTCTTCTGTTGTAAATGCTCTATATGAATCTTTGTAATTAAGTGTAATTTCCATTTTTTTAAATGTTTGTGTGCATTTATGTATTTTTTAAGCAAATGTCTTACGCAGCTCCCGTGCCAACTCTTCCACCGAGTTAGCTTGTTAAGGAGCCTCTGCTGAGTCTTGGGGCTCCTCGAACTACTGGCACGGGGGGGGGGGGGGGGGGGGGGGGGAGGGGGGGGGGGGGCCAGAGGGGGGGGGGGGGGGAGGGGGGGGGGGGGGGGTTGCGAGGCTTCCATGCAAAGGATCGCCCTAAGCCGGGAGAACTTGGCAGCACCGGCCGGATCTTTGGCCCACTCCAATTTCCCCATGTGGACGTGCGGACGGTGCTTCTGGGGTGTCAGCAGCGCCCCTGTCATGTGCGTTTCGCAAAACACAAACATGCAGCAGTGACGGGCCGGCGCCGTCCAGCGCTCCCCATCCTTACCCCCTCCAAATGCATTGGGCCACGACTCCCAGCTGGCTGGGAATGCTGGGTGTTGTGGTCCAGCGCTCCTGGAGGGTGTCAGCCTGGGGACAGCCTCCCTGGTGGTTTTCCCTCCTCACCGGAAGAGAAGAAGACGGTTGTCCACGGGCTGAGCTGCTTCCCGAGAAGCAGAAAATAACGCAGCCTGCCTGTGCTTTTCCCCAGAAAAGGCGATGTGGGGACAGAAGCAAGCAGTAACTGTCGTCACACAATGGATTTAATTCTGTGGTGGGTGTGACGGGCGTTGCGCGAAGCCACCGCTCTGCCAGGAGCCAGAGGAGCTCTCCGCCCGCTGAAGCCAGTGGATTTCCATGTGCTGAAACCTGTTGGCTTCGGGGGGGGCGGGCTTTGCCCCAGCTGGGTCAGCAGCTCCCTCTGGCCCCTTGGCTTAAACAAGAGGACTCTACCACATGTGCCTTCAAGAATGCCATGGCGACATTCTCATGTAATTTATATGCTGGACACAGGATTGGAAATAAATGTGTTGCTTTGTTTTAGCCGAGCCTTGTCCTCTGTGTTGAGACCGCCCTTGCTCTCTCTATAAATTCAGTTTGCATGTGCTAAAGTGCTCCAAGCAGATGAGCAAAATGACCCACTGTACTATGTCCATTGCAAAATGTGTATTTTCACATTTTGCGTATAATGTAAAAATAGTGTAAAAGTTTGAATGTGTAAACAGATTCTTAAAATCGGGAAAAAATGGTGTAAACTGTTTCAGGAGAGGCCTTTCCATTTCACCCGCTTCAAAGGACGGACGTTGCAAATCTGTCCTTTTCCGAATAGCACCTTCAGTGGTGCAGCGCCTCCCCTCCCACACACCCCTGCGTCCTGCGTTTGCGGCCATGGAGGCTTCACCAGAAGTTAAGTTCGGGTCCCTGGGGCAGCGCAGGCAACGTTCAGCGTTGCTCATGGTATCACAGTGGCCCCAAACCCTTTGGGCTTCCCATGCAGATCTGCCAGTCAGAAACGGGATTTTCAAAACAGGCCGCTGGCAGCCAGTCGCCTCTGCTGCCTTTACTGCCTTTTGTGATTCCTCTGCCTACTTCTTGGCGGGCACCCCAACCGTCTCCCGAACTTAGTGCCCTCATGGCCTGCCTTTCCACCAGTGCAGGGCGAGGGGGCCGAGTCGTAGTTCAGTCACAGATCGGCTTTCGGAGAGACCCTCTGCCACCTTGTCCAGGACGGATTTTTAATTTCATGTGCCGAAAGCAAGCTAGCCTGCATTCGGCGATTCCCACGTTCCTTTTATTCTGTCCACCATCCGCTGCACTAAACTCTTCACCTGCTTCTGTCGCCGCTCATGTGACAAGGCCACGTACGTCGTCAGTCGAGTCGGACGCCACAATCGACCTGCCTCCTTTGGCTGGAGCCTCCTGTGTGATGGCCGGTAAAGGGGCCCGCCGATTTCCCTCTGCTAAACCACGTTTCTCTGAGAGACGTTCACCATCAGAATGGGGGCCCATCAAGCAGCCTGTGGTGGCTTTCTTTTCGCTGATCTACTGGAGTGGCTCTTGCTCCTCCATTAGCCACAAGGGATCCCTGTTGGCTGGATGCCCAGAAGGCGTTCCAATGTTCTTATGGAAAGTCTGGGACCTGGGAACTCCTGGCATGTGAGGATATCACTACTTCCCTATCTCCGTTGAAAGTTTCAGTGTTATTCAGCTATCTGTGCAAATCTGCAGGGCAGGTTAAAATGTGAGCTCCATAAATTAGTGCAGCACGGCATTCCCTCACCTGGGAATGACTTGGGTATCTCAACAGAGAAAAAACCTCAAGCAGGGCCCAACACCAGTCTCCCAAAGAACCCAGGGAAAGAACCAAGGCGCAACAAGAATGAACTTCCGTGCCTATCACCCAGTGCCTGGAGTGTGGAAGCAACAGGAACTCAAGCACATGGTAGGATCTGAAACTTGGTGGGATGACTCACATGACTGTAAAGTTTATTCTTGTAAACAGAAATTACAACGACATAAAAGTGCCATAAAATACCATGAAATAGTAATGATAGATCAGTGAGATAGTAAATTTCTGAAATAATAAAAGTTTTAAATAAAAGGTTGCAACAAAATAAGGGGCGATGCTACAACTGAGAGTTTAAAAATTTCTTTCTGAGCTTAAATGAGCGCAGGGCAAAGGTGGCAACTGGATTGCTAACAGTGGGGAACATCCGAGCCCGTAAGTGCGTCTACCTCGGCTAATTTGGTCCTAATCTCCTTGTAAATGGGGCAGTGGGGGACGGAATAAAGACGACCAACCCCTGGCCAGCACCACAGGGGCAGAGGCGTTGCTCCACAGGGGGCTTATGGTATCTCCCTTCAATACCTGCAGAGGCCATTGTCTTCAGGTGGAAAGATGCTAGAGTCTTTCTCAATGGGGCACTGGTTACGGGTTGCGTTAGCCAGGTACTGGGAAAAACCTCAGAGATGCCCACCATCTTTACTGGCATCCTTTGCAAAGAGCCAGCCTCTCACGTTTCCTCCATCCCAGGATCTCAGTTCCTCCAAGGACTACTTCCACTTGCGCAGTGGCCTCGTCCCAGCCCCAGACCTCAGCCCCGTACAACACCTGGGCAGCAACATCACCTTGCCCTGGAATATTTTAAGTGCGGGGGCAACTAATCGCCCCCCTTAGAGCAAAAGAATGCCAAAAGAGCCAGGTGCTGTAGGCCGAGCACTGATCAGACCGCTGGATTGGTGCCTTTCCATTAAAGAGACTTGGGAAAAGTACTACTCAAATACTTAAAAGAGGGACATTGCTCTGTCTTTGAGCATTAATTGCCCATTTATGATTGGTATTACTTCTGCCAAAGACTACGATCTTTGTTTTACTGTAATTAATCTTTAGTTTTTCCCTTTCACAGTAAGCAGCAATTACCCGCAATCTTCTAAGTCCAATCTCAGTATAAGAAATAAGAGCCGTATGATCGGCACACGTGAATTAACATCAAGGTGATGCAATGGGCAGCGCTTCCTTGGTCTGAGAGGTGCTTGGTGTGTGGAAGAGTTTTGGTAAATGGTGATTGGGTGCTCTGGGGCAGAATGGGAAATATTGAAAGGAACGGGTACAAGAGTGCAGCTGCTGAAACTTTTGGGCAAAGAGAAGGGAAAAAACAGAAAAAAGGGAGGGCAGGTCTGTGCAGAGGAAGCCCACGTGGCTCCACGGAAAGTTAGATGACAAGGAAAAAACCATGTGCAGGAGGTGGACGCAAGGCCAGGCCACGAAGGAGGGATATAACCAATCGCGAGGAACTGCAGGGACGGCATCGGGAAGGCCAAAGCAGGAAATGAACCGAGAAAAGCGAAGGATGCTAAGAGCAGCAAGAAAGCCTTCTTCAGAGGCACCCAGAACAAAAGACCTAAGAAAGAGAAGGGTGTCCAGCTACTTAAAGTTCATGACGGAGTGATAACAGACAACAAGGAAAAAGCCGAGGCGCTCAATTCCTACTTCGCCTCCGTCTTCTCCCACAAGGAAATCTGCAACCAAGAGGAAGTGCAAGCTGGAAGTGAGAGATGGGAGCCCCAGACTGACAGACATATAAACACATCCAAACCTGCAGGGCCTGATTGACTCCATCCTGGAGTCATAAAAGAGCTAGCGGAGGAACTCTCAGAGCCACCGTCGATTAGCTTCAATAAATAAATGCTGGGAAACAGACGTGCCAGATGACTGGGGAAGGGTTAACATTGTCCCCATCTTCGAAAAGGGGAAAAAGGGTTGTTGCCAGCTTCAGCCCACCTGAGACAGAGGGATGGTCTGGGGCACCCCAGACTCACACCGCTTCAGAATCTAGAGGCAGGACCGAGAGAGAGCAAAAGGAACAATGTTTTATGCTAGTGCACTAAGAAGAAAGCATAGACAAAGGGTTTTCTCCCAAATGGATGCCTCTCCGATTGTACACCAAAACAAACATTATATAGCTAGGTAAACAACCTGATCATCTTATTCTCCCCCCACCCACCCAGTTCAAAGTTTCCTTTCTCCTTTCAAGGACTGTCCATTTCTCATGTCCATCCCTTATTGCCCCATAAGTCACTATGACCTGGAATAAACAACTCCCTGCATTTAGCAAAACAAATTGCAACTTTTACATCAGCTATAACCAGTTCACGCTGACCCCTCAAACAGCAATTTAAGGCCATATCGGCTTTGAGTTATACAAAGTTCATTTTACTCTTTCTCCCTGTGTGGCAGTTTGGGCAAAGGAAACTCTGGTGGCAGCTGGTTCTGGCAACAAGATGAACCTGGGAACTACAAACCACGTAATCTGACATCCATCCCTGGAAAATTTTGGAGCAAATTATTAAAAAATCAGTCTGCAAGCACCTCAAAGAAAATGCAGTGATTAATAAAAGCCAACATGAATGGATCAAAAATTCTGCGAGACTAATTTAATATCATTTTTTGACTGGGTCAAACAGACCATTCCCAGACGGAGGGAGCGCTGTGGGCATAATCTACCTTGACTTTAGCGAAGCTTTTGACATAGTGTCCCAGGAAATCCTTATAAGCAAATTAGCAAAAACTGGACTAGATGGAAAAACTATTAGGTTGCTAAAAAAATTGGCTGCTAAATCGGACACTTTTAAAGAGTGCCCATCGATGGCACCTTCTCACATGGGATGGAGGAAACTAGTGGGTGCCACAGGGTTCAGTCCTGGGCCCAGTGCTCTCCAACATCTTTATTGATGATTTAGATGAGGGAGAACAAGGAAAGATAACCCGATCTGCAGATGATACAAAACTGGGTGGAACAGCAAACGCCCTAGAGGGCAGAGGGGCCACAGCAGGTCTCCTGACGATGCACGGCAAGAAGGACAATCAAGATGGCCCTGCTGCTGAGTCCCCTGGGATCCGCGCAGGAGGACCAAGCGGGAAAGAGCGGGATGCCCCACGGTGAGCCCGGCTGTCCACTGGGTTGTTTGCCATGGCTTCTTTGCAGAGTGGGTTGTTGTGGCATAAAAGCCCAGCTGGGACTTCTCGGCTGCCCAGCACGCAGCTCTCTGGACCTTTCCTGCCGGCACCTCAAACCCGCGTCTCCGAGCGGGCGCTGACGTCACACTGGGCAAGGCGGCTTGTCCAATGGGAAGGGGGCTTTCCTGCCAGCTGTCAACGGAGGCTTGGCGCCAGCAGGGTCCAGGCCAGAGAGCCATGAACCCGAGCTGACCGCCGGGGAGGTCCAGTGGCGGGGCTGTCGCTGGGGGTGCCTGCAGCGCCCCAGTTGGCCTCCGAGTCCTCAGAGGGGCAAGCTATCCAAAAAGAGGGAATGGGGGAAGAGGCAAGAGAGGGTGCGGGGAAGGAGGGCCTTCTGGGGAAGTTCTGGGGGGTGAGATGGGGAGCCCACGCGAGCAGTCGTGCTCCCGTGAATGAGGAACGGGATTTCCAGTTGCCACGATCTGGTACTCGGTGTCCCATTTCCTCCTAGTTGGAGCAGGTGGAATATCCTTCCCAAACGGAACTCCACTCCAGCAGCCCTTGGCTCAGTTCCCACAACCATCTCCTGCTGGGGTTTGATGCCGCCAGGCGAAAGTCGGTTGACATCAGCAGACCGCAAACTGCCGGTGTGACTGTTTCAGGAAGCTGTCAAATTCCAGAAGGTGTCATAAAAATGAGGAAGCCAAGAATGCCCGTGGGCACATGGGCATATTTTGCACATGGGCATATTTTGCAACGGCAGCGGCGGCTTGTCTGCTCCAAGGCAGCCGCGCCTTTGCTCCGCCCGCCTCTGCCTGGCAGACTTTCCAGCCCGGCTCAAGACCACTGCGCCCCATGCGGGTGGTGGGTCGCGTGATGGGCTGCGTGCAGGGCCCCCTTGGCCTGGAGCTCACTGGGGGGCTTCAGGCCAGTGACTGAGTCACAGCCTACCTTACCTCACAGGGTTGTTGTAAGGATGGAATGGAGCTGATTAATGCTGCCCAGCGATCCTTGGGGGGAAAGCGAGGGGTCGCTGCAACAAGCAGGCCTCTGCCTGGCTCCCTGCGCATTTCGCCAAGTTCTTTTCCCCTGGTCTTGCGTGGCGGCCCCAGGATGCAGCCCAGCTCCTGCTGCTGCTCGCAGGGGCAGCGCAGAAAAGCTCCAAACCCTCCGTGGAGAGAGAAGGCAATGCCGCAGCCCCCCAGCAATGAAAGCTGCCTGGAAGAAACCCCCCAGGAGAGAAACTGGGTGAAGCTGCTCAGTGCTGGGCGTGAGCTTCCCCCTTCGCTCCTTCAAAGCAACAGGCAGCTCTTTGCAGAAGCTCTGTGTTTCCAAGCTACGTACAGCAAGGAAAAGGTCTCCGGGCTTGCACAGGGCAATTTACTGAACCCAAACTAGTATCTATTTCCAAGAGCCCTCCTTCTGAGGAACCATTCTGCGAGTGCCCGTCCGGAGACAGGCCAGCCTCTTAGCTGTCCGCTGCTCCTCTTGCTGGCTAGCCCTTCTCTCCCAACACCACCTCACGGGGTCAAGGTTCATGCCAGGCTTGCTGGGGGCGGGTTCCATATCCCTCCCAGCAGATGCTGACAGGCTAGTCTCAGGATCTACCTTGAGATAAGCCCTCCTGCCTTATCCATCTTGGAATCTGGAGGCCCCGTTTCCCAGGCTCCTCCTTTCCCATCTCTGGAGTCTCCTTGGCCAAGAACAACAGCCAAGAAAACAATTTCCGGCACCTTGCTCACAAGCCGTGTGAGACCCTCCAAGGGTGCCCACGACGAAGCACTGATGCCGGGACCAAGATCCACCGGAGCAGATCATGCTTCCAGTAACTCCGGCTGGCTTGCTTTTCCTCTAGGTCAACCATGGTCTTGGCCGGGTGTTGCTACAATGGCAGGAAAGTCAAAGGAAGACAAGGACACACCAATGGAAAAGCGGCTGAAATACCTCAAGGGCTCTTTTGAGAAAGCGAGTTTTCCGGAGCTGTCCGACAGCCTGGAAGAGGTTCTCTATTCCCTGGAGAGTGCCGGCTTAGTCGTGGGCATCGCCGGAGAGTCTGGCGCTGGCAAGTCGACCTTCATCAACTCCTTCCGGGAGCTACGTGAAGAGGATGAAGGTGCTGCTCCTACCGGGAGGGCAGACACCAGTAGGGGTCCCACCCCGTACCCACACCCTAAGTATGACAACGTGATTCTGTGGGATCTGCCGAGCATCGATTCCCCTGAATTTCAGAGGAAAGATTATCTGGAGCAGATCAGTGCCTCCCGCTATGATTTTGTTGTTGTCATGGCCTGCCAGCACTTCACCTCTCTCCATGCCAGACTGGCTCTCCACATCAAGAACGCCAGTAAGGCTTTCTACTTTGTCCGCTCCAAGGTGGATGCAGATCTGGAGGCAAGACGCTCGAGCAACCCCTTGGGCTTCATCGATGCTGTTGCCCTGCAGCGAATCCGGGAGGAGTGCATGAAAGATCTGAAGGCCGAGGGGGTGAAGTTCCCAAAGCTCTTCCTCATTTCCAATTCTCAGTTGAGCAAGTATGACTTCTCCCGCTTTGTGGAGACCTTGGAGAAGAACCTGCAGCTGGAGAAGAGCCACTGCTTTCTCATGGCCGCACCAAACGTCTCCCATCGCATCCTGGAGAGGAAGAAGAGCGCCATGGTGGAGCATCTGTGGCTGGCCTCCGTGGTAGCCGCTAGCTGCCAGACGGTGCCCATCCCAGAGATTTCAATCGCATGCAATCTGGACCACCTGGCCCAGACGCTGCGAGGTTATTGCACCAGCCTCGGCTTGGAAGACTCCTCCTTACGGAGAGCAGCCCGGCAGGCTGAGCAGCCACTGGAGCTGTTCCGGGCCTTGGTGAGGTCACCCCTGGCTGCCGCCGTCACCCCGGCACTGGTGGTGGAGCTGCTGGAAGAGGCCGCCGGCAAAGCTGCGAAGCTCCCGAAGCAGCTGGTGCCCATGACCAGCCTGGGGCCGTCGTTTTCTGTGGTGTACAATATGCTGAGGGTGTTCGTGGACAGTGCGGCAGCAGATGCCCACAAGATACTCGTGAGGGCATTTATGAGTCACAAGCCTACCAGTGAGCAGGCGGCAGAAGCATCGCAAGTCACGGACAGCTGAGCCCTTTGAGGGGTGGGAGGCGCCCTTGTTCCGGGAGACCACCGCAGGCCCGTGCCGCAGCTGCGCAAAGCTCCCTGCTGCGTCTGGCAGTCGCTCTCCCAGGCGGCCGCCCTTGGTTCGCCAGAAGACCCGGATGCACCGACGGCTCGCCCGGTCCCAGTTCACCTGGATGGTGTCTGCCTGGCCCAGAGCCGCTGGCCGGGAAAGGCTTTTCTCCTCAGCTGCTGCGGGATCGCTCCTGAGCTGCCAGAGTCTGAGCTCCAGCCTGGGCCATGGCACGTTTCAGTTTGAGCTACTTCCTTGGTGTCTCCAGGCAAGTCACCTGCTCCTGAACAAGGCCAGCACCCCGACAAAGATACCGGGGTGTTCTTAGCGCCACTCTGCTACCCACAGGGAATAAATGTCCAAACATCGAGCTGTGAGAGCGCACAGATCCTTTACCCCACAGTGAGGCGTTGGAGCAGTTCGCATTTGGGGGGCTCATCGTTCCTTGCAAGACGACTTGCAAAACAGGAGCTCGTGACTGCGCGCATGCGGCCTGGGTGAGGGCGGGCAGAGGTGGGCCTTAGCAACTGAGCGGAAACTCACTGCAATTCCATTTTCCCAAACCGAAATGGGGAAAGCCTTTGCACACCACAGAACACGGGACCAGAAAAATACTGGCAAGCAAGACGTGCATTTGCCCTTTTTGCTGCTGCATCACATTGTTGACTCATATTTAGCTGGTGATCTAGCACATCCCCAATGTCCTCCTCACTTGCAGAATTCTTCAGCCAAATAGTCCCCGTTTTGTATATCAAAGGACTGACTGACTGGCACCAAACGTTCCTAACACAATTGCTGTGTTTCCTCAGTTTGTCAGGGCCAGACAATGCGTAAAGGCCAATGCAAAAACAATGTGAAAGCAAACGGAAAGGCAGTGCAGCCCCACCTTGAGGTCCCTTCATGAACATTCAAACTGCTCTTATCCAAATGTCTTGGTGCTATTTGTTTAAAAAATGTGTTAGTTTAGAAGCATTCTGTGCTTATGTGCAAAGGGAAATACTATCACGGAGAGCAAGAAATTATTGCGAAACTTGATTCTCAGATTTTTAATGCCATTATTCATAAACATTCCTCTGGACGGAAAATGCAGCAAGTTTGCAAAGCACTCTTGAGTTCAGCAAATTTCCACTGGCTTAGCACTTTAAATCAACGAAGATAAACAGCGCCACAACGGGCATGCTTCCCCTTTCTGTCCCAGTTCCCCTCGCTGGCATGGCGATACATCAGAACAGTAGACATGCGCAATGGGAAACACTGTTTTCTTTGGCTTGTAAAAATAATAGTCCACTTCAGCTGCTCAAAGGCGAGGCGAGGAGGCGAGGCAGCACTGTGGAACCAGAGGGCCTAGTCACCCTCTAAAAGAACCCGCAAACCATTACGAGTGGGCAATGGCCGGGGAACAAAAGACGCCTCCAGCAGACAAGTTCTAAATTGGCCAGAAGCAGAGAGGACAGAGCAGAACCAGCCTGGGCCTTTAGAACAGCTTGGGCCCAATATTTTCACGGACATGCAGTTCTGCAGCAAGCGCCCCCAACATCACACCCACCCCAGAATGCTGTGAAGCTCGCCGTTTCCCAGCCAGAGTGAAAAAGCTGGTCTGGCGAAGTCTCCATTTTTAAAGGCATTTTTCCCCGGGAGGAATGGCTCAAGGCTGTGAGCCCTTCGCCCCAGCTCAGCCCCTGCCTCTCAGCGCCCTGGGTGCCTAAGAGCTGTTCGCTCATCTCACCTGCTTGTGTGGCGCCATAAAGGGGAGCTCCATGAACAGGAGACCACTAGCTGAGCCAGCCGGGCCAAGGTGGAGGACCAGCGAGTGGCGCTCCTGCGCAGATGAGCCGGTTCTGTGGTGTGCGACTGCGCAGAGCCGGATAAAGAACGGCAAGGAAGCAGTTTCGTGGATGCTGCTCCCTGTGGAACAGGTCTTGCATGGTCCCAGGAGAACTGTGTGCATGCCTGCAGCATGTGGGGAGTGGAAGACCTCCCTGGAGCCAGTGCGGGGTGAGGGAGATGCAGAGCTGGGCCTGCCAGTGCCCAAGAAAGGGCGCCGTGGTCCGCATGGCTCCTTCTGGCCCCCCACCCTTCCCTCCCCTGGGCAGTGCCCAGACGTAGGGGTGCTACCAGGGCTAAAACCAGTCTGGAGGCATTTTGCACTCCTGGTGTAGATGTGGAGACACAGCTAGCTCTTGCTTCGTCGCCACTGCTGTTGCCTGGAATCACAAAGGTGCAGGAGCTTCTCCAGATCCAGGCTCCTGTTTTTCAGGTCTGGGGCAACGGCGCCATTTGCGGCTGAAAAGAGGGTGGGACGCAGCCGCACGCAACGCAGCGCACCCGGAGCCGCACGCAGTCTCTGGGGCCACCTGTCCCTTGCTCCTCCGGCCCCAGAGATGCCCCGGGGGTCCGAGGGAAGGTGAGGCCAGTAACGGGACTTCCCCATAGCACTGCCTTTGACACATGGGGCCACCACTCCGACAAGCAGCCCGCAGCTGAGGGGCCGCTTCTGGGGTGGCAAGTGGTGGGGGCTGCAGAGGCACAGGAGCCGCTCTGGGTGAGCTGCCCGGGCCGCATGCAGGCTGCCCGGCTCTGTCTGGACTGGCAGCTGCAAGAGACCCTGGGCGGCCTGCCTTGGGGCTTCAGCTCCGCCACGCACGATGCCTCTTTCAGGGATGACGGAGGGCAACGGATCAATGGCACCGAGTCGTCAGAGCCCAGAGCTGTGAACAAGAGGCGTGATTCTCTTCCGCAGGCTCCGCGATGAAGCAACATGTTCTCCTGCTTCTGGTTTTTTTTTGCAAAGTCGTAGCAAAGTCTACACTGTGTAGTAAGTTCGGGTTGGGAGCCGCTGGCCGGGCGAGGATGCCCCGTCGGGGGAGTGTGGAAGGAGGGGGGCCTCAAGCGCAGGGGCAGCGCTTGCCTGCCGGAGGAGCCGTTCTTGGTGGCCTCAGGCGTCCCAGGACTTCCAGAGCTGATTTCTGTCTCAAAGACTGAAAACGGGAATTCTGCCAGTGCTGGCTGTTCGATTCCCTGCCCCCCCCCCGGCCCCACGGTGTGCATGCAGGCCATGAACACTGCCCCAGCTGCCACCGCTCAGGCAGAAAGGCTGTCCTCCCCCTGCTGGTGAATTGGGAAGGGGTCAGCTCCCTTGCAAGCCCGCCCGGTCATCCCGTGAATCTTCCCTGGGGCTGCGAAGAAATCTAGATTTCCCGAGAAGGGGCTGCAGGTGAGGCAGGAGGCATTTGCTCCACAGATCTGAAGAAATCCTCACCCAGCCGACCTCTGAATAGAAGCTCAAACCAGACCTTAGGAAAACTGCCAAGGTGTGCAGTGAAATCACATTTGTGCAGTTCAGATTCAGGCGGACAGCCAGGTTAGGGCTGGGTCAAATCACAGGAGAACAGAAGGGGAAGCTCCCTCCATCAGCTGCACCTCTGGGCCGCTGTAGCCTCAGGAAGTGATGCCCAAGGCCAGAGCCAGGCTGAGGGCAAAGGCGGGCATGGCTGTGTGGTGGCACACAGGCAGGGCCCCAAGAAGAGCCGCCTGGCCTTGGCCCCCCACCCCCACTCTGCCAGGGACACGGAACGATGGGCGCAAGCTGTGGGAAGCCAGGTCCCGGCTGCACGTCAGGAAAAGCTTCCTGGCTGCTGGAGCGACGCAGCAATGGAGCCCTCTGCCTGGGGAGGGGGTGGGCCCCTCCACGCTGGAGCCAGTGAAGATGCATCTGGGGCACCCACTGCCGGGGATGCTTGAACTTGGAGGCCTGCATTGAGGCCTGCATTGAGCAGAGGCATTGAGCAAAGAGCAAATTTATTTAATCTTAAAGGTGCACGATTAAGGAAGGCATTTACAAGCAGGGACTGAGGGCAGATCCCCTCCCCCCCAAAAGCAGCAACTGTGGCCCCGTGGTCAGGGACAATCTGGGGGTCAGACTAGATGGCCCAGGAGACCCCTTCTGACTCACTCTGTTTATATATTTCTAAGTTCCAAACTTATCCTGATTTCCTGTTTCTTGGCGCAGTTAACCACAGGATCCTAGAATGCTGGCACTGGAAGGGGCCAGAGGGCCATCGGGTCCAACCCCTGCTCAGTGCAGGGCTCCCAGCTAAACCATCCCCCCCCCCCCCCCCCCCCTGTCCCGCTGCCTCTTCAATACCTCCAGGGGCCAGGCCACGGGCAGGCAGAACGCCCGTCCCAGGGCATGGGCTCAGGCGGGAGTCTGGGCTTCACCGAGGGGCCAGAGACTGGGAGGGCCGAGGCGTGGAAGCGAGTGCCCTGACGTAGCGCAGAGAGAGCACAGGCTGGAAACAGTCCCACTGGCTGAACTGTCACTGCAGGGCAGGCGAGCAAACGGCAGGAGCGGAATAGGACAGCAAGGCCTGGTCTCCTTGGAGGAAGGCGGGACGAGGCGAGGCGCACGAGGAGGCCAGGGCACGGCTTGCGTTGCTGTGGCAAGGAGCCGCTGTCGAAGGAAGGCGTCCTCTCCGTTAGACTCCACGGCCTTCGGCTGCAGCAGTGCCTCCTTCCTAGCTGCTCCCTGCTAGCGCCCCGCTCTGCGGACCCTCGCAGAACCAGCCCGGCCCGGTCCTGACACACCGTCCTGCTGCTCTAGCAGCCTGGAAGTTTGTTCTGGGGCCCAGCCGGAATCTGTCTCCCTGTAACTTGAGCCTGTTATGCTGTGTCTCTGCGATGACTGAGGGGAAGAGGTTAAACCAGACGTTTCTATTCTAGTGACCGCTGAAATCAGGAAGAGAATTGCACTGACTGATTTTGCTCAGCCCTGGCTGGGAGTCATTTTTAGTATTAGGATCGTTGTCATTATAGATGTAACCATAGTTGGGCACTGAGGATGTTATTATTTAATTCCCAGTTTAGTATTTAATTGCTCTTGTTATTCTGTAAGCACAAATATAGGATGTGTTGTCACTGTGTGATCCCCTGCGATTGTAGCCATGACCATATTCTAA